ATTTCAGACTATGGAGCCATCTACTTTCGAAGCTCTTGCTCGGTATATTGCCCAGCAAAACCATCTCAACGAAACCCTTTCCCGTCAACGTCTTGAAGACCTGGCTGCAAATGTCATTCTGCCATTTCGTTCAGTCGCTGTCCACCACAAGATCAAGTGGGTCTCCGTCGACGCTCAAGGACATGGTGATCCATGTGTCACCGTTGATAGTGTCCACGCTAGGCCTGGTCACGCTGGAAGCTCTCAACGAGATGATGCAGTGCCTGCGCGTTTTGATACTGCGCTTGTCAACGATGGTACTGGTGATTCTGTGGGTGTCAAAGGTAAGCTCAATATTGACTGGGTCTTACTAGTTTTACTTATTCAACAAATAAATATTCAGGCTACCGCATTGGTCAGATTCGCACCATATTCTCTATCCAACGACGAGATGCGCTGTCATTGTTCCCTCCAACGTCCCAACCTCCAAAACACCTTGCTTACATTGAATGGTTCACCCCGTTTTCTTCAATGCCGGACTCGCGTCATGGTATGTACAAAATTTCTCGTTTCATTCGTTCGGGCGAGAGAGTTGCTAGCATAATCCCTGTTTCGAACATTGCTCGCAGTGTGCATCTTATACCAAAGTTTGGACCAGTCGCACCTCGTCACTGGACAAGCAACACTGTCCTCGAAGAATGTGATACTTTTTTCGTTAATTGTTATATTGATAGGCATAGTTTTGTGGCCCTTAGATAGCGCTGTATAATGCTGCATAATTTTTTCTATGTTATGAAGGCTAGGACATTTATGTACGTCTAGCTCTAAAATATGGCAGTTTATCTGCTTTGTTGAAATTCTCTCTAATTTATCCTAAGTTAGCACGGGAGGTTTTCCTGATGTTGTGTATACATTCCTCGGGATCTGCGAGTAATGACGGCCAACAACTTGTCTTATATCATAAAAAGCGATAGACGTCGACGCAATACAGCTCGAGAGCGGTTTCATCACCTGCCACTGTGGTAATCAGGCGAGCATTGATGAAATGAACTGAGAACTCCGTCATCGGCCGGTGCAGCTCTACCGCCGAAAGTGAAAACGGAGGCAGGAATATCACTGGCACTTATATAATAGACTACATCTGCTTACAATATGTAGATGTTTGGAAGAAGTTGTTCAGAGGCGTACAAAACTCGAAACTGTCAAACTGATATAAACGAATTTCAACATTTCTACTATGACAAACACATGAGTCAAAACTTTCGGAATAATCGAGTGTGCCTGTCACATCACTGGTGTAAAGTTCGACAAACGAAGTGGAAAGTCAGTTCGGTCTAGTTCACACCACCAGTAGTTGTAAGCTTTTGGCCTGTGTACAAAATCAACGCCGTGAGGCTAATGCAATGGGTTTGAGGCGAAGCAAGGCTTACACGAAGCACCTGGATGTATCACATCTGAGTTCAATATGACGAGGTCAGACATAAAGCATCGAAACCTTACCTAGACAGCTGGGGTCTCGCGAGCCACCTCGGCAATAGTATTTTGAACTGTAGCGGTCTCGCCCTGCGTACAATATTAATATCGCGAGGCCAATTCATGGATTTGATACAAGGCTTACGCGAGGATAGTACTGGGTGCATTACATCTGAGGTTAACAATATAACGAGGTTTGGTACTAGGCACTTACATTATAGTTGAAGGTTGCTAATTTATCGTGAGTCAACAGGATTAGATTTTATACGAAGTCAGCCTCACTGAATGCACAGCTTGTAGCGACAAAAGCTGTCAAGGCAAGTAGAATATAGAGGAAAGAAGAGGAGAAGCGAGTGGACATGACGGTGAGTAGATCTATATCTGTTGAGAGCTGTTGGCGCTGTCTAATCTGTGACGATGCTGCTGAAGTGGGTGTTCTTGAGAAGCATACAAGCTCCAAAATGTGTGCAATTTAAGTGTTCTTCCATGAAACGTTCCGGGGAACTGTTGGAAACCTAATCAATGTTATCTGGCTGTCAATGAACACGTGCACGGTGGAATCAACAAGAAATTTCAGCTCCGGTGTTATTTTACCTTTCAATGTCATAGGAGACAATAATATTTTGAGATTGCTACGGGCCATGCTCGATCCGACGCTAGTAACCCCTTGCCACGGATTCATCATGACGTTGCTATCACAGACCAATAAAGTTGTTATTGAGGAGGGATAGTATGGATGTTGTTTAAGCTCTTTGATGTCGTACCGCATCGTTAGGCACTCCCTAATATCTGCTGTGGAAGCACCTAACGACGCGGTATGACATCAAAAAGTCAATAACAGCCCTACTTGATAACAATTTTATTTATTGATGTTCAGAAACGACTCTGAATCGTTCATTGATCCATAATGACGACATCATGATGAATCCGTGGCAAGGGGTCACATAAAGTATGGCCTCGTAGCAATCTCAAAATAGCAGTCCTACTCAATTTACAATTTATTTCGTCCAGTTTATTTTCTTGACGAGCAATATAGGTTTTGATGGCAAGTAAATGA